CTTCGAGGACACTAGAGAAGGAGAAAGAGTAACGATAGCTTGGACCAAAGACAAATTGCTCGACCCTAACGTAGGAGCGGTCCCCGAACTAGTTTAGAATCCTTAAAAGATTTCTTTTCTTTAGCAACAAAATTCCTAGCTATATGCTCTTGAGTGGGATTCATGCTATCTGCAAAACAAATCGAAAATCAGAGTTAGCAAACGAGGACCCAAAAGCGTCAACCACATGTAACTATTCAAAACATAAAACTAAATACCCAAGTATTTGACAGGATCCTCTCTCTCAAGGATCTCCTTAACAGCTATCAAACTGGGATCGTATATGACCTCCCCATTCTTGTCCGTTACCAGTTTATCTCCCTTGACCGCTTGCTGGATGTGAGGAATATGTGCCAAGAAAGCAGTCAAAACGGTGAATCTCTCCTAGTCCTTGACACCAAGCTCCCCCTCCTTCTAGATGTAGGAACCTAATTTATTATCGAAATGTTTCCTCGTCCACTGGAAAGGGAACTTGTAGACCAGCTTATTCACGTGCTCTCCCAACTCGTTCAGAACGGGGCCCCCATTCTCATCATGTTTGGGTGCAGTCCTAAAAAACGTTCAGCATCACTCTGCTCGAAAGAGGCTGCACCAGAATATACTTGTCCTTAAAATGTCAGACATACTCCAGGTAAGCTTTAAACAGCTTCATGTTGCCTTACTTCAGGGAAACCCATCCCCACTTACCATCAATCCTGCTCATCTGGAGATGGAAACAGTAAAAGAACAGAGGGACGATAGCTCCAATCTTCAAGTAGTCACAAACAATCTCGAACACCCGCATGAAAGCGACCCCATGCAACTGGGAAGGAGCCAGTCGAAGATGACAGAAAATGACCACTTGGAAATCTGAGAAGGGGGAGTCGGAGGCCCATCTCCCAGAACATGATGTTGTACATAAGGATCCACCTTTTATCATATTTAGAGCAAACATGGTTGTCTTTCATGGGGATCCAAAGCGACCAATCCCCTCGAACTCCATCATCGTGCGTGTATACTTCGGTGAAAACCTCATCACATTATTCAAAGAAATAAGAAACCCAATCCCAAGAGTCTTGCGCGACCTAGGATCGCGGATCCTCATCTTCGTTAGGTGTAAACAGGTCACACTGATCGACGAGCACCATCTTCTCTTCCTCTCCCCCTAACTGCTGATTAGATCTGTTCGGTTCATCCCTAGAAATTTCTTGGATGCTCAACATACTGAATGTATCATCCATAGAGCTCCGAGAGAATCCACTTCGTCCATCTGAAAAATCATCCCTGGTATTGTCGACCATAGTACCTGGAAAGCAGAGGATAGAGGTGAGTTTGACATCGATGCTAAAACCACCCTTCTACCACTAATCAAGTGAAAGGGCGCTGATTTAACAAGGATTATATCCCCGACCAGAACCCTCACTAAGGCATATGATTGAATTAATGCTTCGTCAACAAGACAGACCCCAGTCAGCAAAAACAACCTAAGTCCTCAAGGATCACCCGCGGCGCATCGTAAATATCAAGAGAAAATCTGTAGCGACTCCGACATCTCTAAAATTGCAGAACCACCGCCCGCCACCAACACTCATCTAAGAACATCCTAACTGACAAGATCCTAACCCTAATCGCATGCATTTCTAAGGCTAAAATCAAGAATATTTGAACTACAAAAGCCTAATGACAACGAAGAATTAAAATCTTATCAGTTGGAGAAGAAAAAAGGCTGAAAAGGGTGGTGGCGAGCAACAAAACTCCAAGAAACGGCGGCGGTCGAACAAATGAGCAGCAATGAGTAGGATGGGAGAAGAATGAAAAATACAGAATGCCCTGCTCCTCTTGTATTTATAGATGGGATCACAAGCATGTGAGAAACACTCGCCTAGGGAACCCTAGGGTCACCGTCATTGCACCCTAGCCCCTAGGCCATCATTTCGTTGCTTCGTCAGTGCACTACCTGAAACATGCTACCTCTTTAAATTAGAAGCTCAAAACGGCCAAATCATCGTCTCCCTGCGACAAAGGCGAAACGGGTAACACTTATGTCCCCCGGAAAAAAAGCCTCATACTACGAGCAGGTGCTAAAGTCATCAATCTTGTACCCAGAAGTAACAACTTGGGGGGAAACTATTATGGACTGGCTCGACAGCCTGTGTGGGCCTAGTCTAGAGTCCTCCTTTGGTAAAGTGCACACGACACATCCCAAATCTTCCACGCCCTCTATCAGGCACCATCGATCGTTTTCACTCTTAGACCGATACTGACTTTCGATAATCGACGAGCGCCTCCCAGTCTGCCCAACCAGGAACTCGACCAGACAACCAAGAACCGACCAGACCGCTGCATGTAACCTTCCTCCTCCTCGGGACCAATGACTAGTTACGGGAACACCTGCTCAGTATTGAAACAATCGGCTGAACATATCATCAAGATGAAATCAATGAACTCGCCATCGAACATTTTTTATCCCACGGGAAGGGAAAGGTAAACATTGAGTAAACCTGAGAAGGGTGAAATCAAGTTCAAACGACCAAGAGATATGAGTAAGGGATTTTTTTACGTGAGGGGAAGATATTAGCACCCCACACGCCTGTAGTACTCTACGGTATCCACTCTTGTTGTTCTAATCAAAGGGTGTGTTTCAAATCTAAGCTTAAGAGCTAAAAGAAAATGCAAATGGGGGATGCATGCAAAAGAAAAGAGAAAATAATGTAGGGAAAATAAAGTTGTGCTCGCCCGGGCCCTACCCCAATGCTTATGTATCCTTTTTGAGAAATCAGAGTTATCGTTGTTCGACTCACATGTTTTGATTTGTTTTGTGTTTTTTAATGAACGATATTAATTTCACCTTCTACCGCAGCTCGACCTTTGGAGACTCACGCGTCAACACAAAAGTGAATTAACATGTCCTTTTGAAAAGTTTGAAAGAAGGGAAAAGGAGTTCGAAGGTGAAAAAGAGTTTGCATTGGTTGATATTTTTTACCTTGAAGAAGAAGTTGAAAATTTTTAGATGTTTTATGCATTTTCCTAAGAAAAAGAGTTTTAGTCTTAATACAAGGATGCAAAAGAAATAAAAAAATCTAAGGGAAACTAACTAGAATCTAATCCCTAATGTTATCACACAATGATTGATCCTAAGGTTGAGTTTTGAAAGGGAAATATCTACCCTATGTTAGTATGCATGGATTACAATCCTAATGTCTATCTCGAATCGCCACCAAAGGATGGATTGAGAAGTCCTAAGGGAGCATAACAAAGGTTCACAACCTAAACTTATATCTATCTCGAATAACCACCAAAGGATGAGTCAAGAACTCCTAAGGGAACATGCCAAAGGTTTAAAACCTAATAAAACATGCACACAAGGACGGAAAGCAAGTAATCAACAAGCTTAAGAGATCACACATATGCCACGAGTAGTGCATACTAACTCGCGTAAAGGCCTAACCAAGATATAAACGATCGAGATAGGTACAAAATACAGTAGGGATACTTCAGCCAAGGGGTCATATCAACCGATGAAAACAAGCAGGAAAGGGGATGAAGCGGGAAGCTTTAGCCAAGGGGTCATATCAATTGAGGCAAACAAGCGGGAAAGGGATAGGAAAAACAAAGGAAAATGTGATGTCCAAAGCGACTAAACCCCTAACCACGGTATATAAAATTGAGGTAGGAGATAAAAGGCAATATGAATAATCACGGAGTATCAGCATCGACCAATGCAAACTCCTGACAAGGTATGGGAGTTTGATTGCAAAAACCTTTTCCACTGGACTACTCAATTAACAAGAGTAGGCACAACTCTGAAGCATCGTGGTGCATCACGAGCTAAGGATGACACAGACAAAATACACGAGGTTTGTTTGCTTACCCTTTTCGTCCATCTCCTTTTGAGGACTTCAATAAGGGATGGGGGAATAGATGTGAGCACAAATTTAAACACACATCCGGAATACCTACTTCAAAGGTATGATTTTAAACAAACACAGATAACATACATAAAGCGGTTCCTGCTACAAGACTTTAAACAGCGACTTCGAGCGCACACTCTTTATTTCCTACTTCTCATGATATCTAGAAAGCAGTAAAGTGCAAAAAGATAAACTGGAAGCAGAATAATGCCAAATGAACAAGAGTTCGTAACACCACAAGCAAAGCAGAGAGACTCATAAAACATTGAGTAAGCATGCAAAATACTCCGTTAATGTCTCATGGTGCGAGAAATCTCCATTGGAAGCTTGCACAAAACACACCAAATGAGTTAGAAAATAATAAGGAAATATAAGCGCAACTCAAGCATCCATTCAAGGATCAGAACCTACCACGAAACCATTCATTATGCCAAGGAAACTGAATCAAGGATACAGAATCGGCAAAAATGCGCTAAAATCATAATTCTAATCATGCACCGAGAATTAATTCAATTAATTCCTAAGACTAATAGAAAAATTATGGAAAAAAATATCACCAAGTCAGGGATCAACATACTAATATTCACACAAAATTTCAACCAAAAATTGTGAAAGGAAATATCAAAATTAATTTCTTAACAAAACAAAAATTCAAGAGAAATTGAGAATTAGCTGGGAGGTGCAGTGAACTGGAAAGTGGTGTTGCAAAGTAAAGCTAGGCGCTAAGCCCATTCCCAAACAAGGTCCAATAAGACATTTTTGTTCTGATGTTGTAGTCTCTCAAAAAAAAGTAGAAACGGGCCAGAGTAATGGTGTAACTTCCGCATGCCCAAGGAAGAGTCCAGCAACTCACAAAAATCACTCCAATAACACTGTCAACTTCCCAGTTATTCAGCACCGTCATTATTATTTAAACAAAAACTAAAACTAAATAGGAAAAAGAAGAATTGAAAACGATGTTTTGGTACAGAAAAATAGGGTTCACAAAACTGTGTCTCTTCATCTCCCTCGCGAATACTTCAATTTCCTCTTCTCCTTCCGCCGCGACCGATCAAACACGCCATTGTAACCATGCCGTTCGCCGCCTCTTCATCTCCTTATAACGGTGGCGAAACTCCTTATTTTCAATCCAAATTGGCGGAGAACTCAACCTCCTTCAGCGATCCACGCCATCGATGCACCACGACCTTGTCTCCTCTATCTCAAATTCTCAACCTCCGTTCGTCCCAACATTGTGACTCACAGTTTCGTCCGTCTTTCTCAACGTTGTCTCGACTAATCTCCGCCGTTATTGACATAGATCGCCGAGCTCATGCTCATCTCGCGCGGATGTCTCATGGCGCCTTACTTCCATTGCAAATCATCCTCAAACCAAGGGATTCACCGATCATGACGGTAAGAAATGAAAAAAGTTAATAATCTTGAAGGTTACCAATCGGAGATGCTTCGATGACGTTTCAATTGCGATGTCGCCGAAATAAAATCCGTGAAATCTTCAATGAGTATCAGGAAACGTTTCCTTTAGAACTACTTCAGAATCGCCTCTTCTCGTGGTTTTTCCAGAGCTGTAACTACTGTGTTTCTGTTGCTGAACTCAGATGAGTGAGAATTCGCGTGCAGAAAGTGATGAAGATGCGTGAAGATAACTGATGCGAAGGATGTGGAATTGAGGTGTGATGAAGATGATGGTTGAAATTGCGTGGAGTTGCAGATGCTTTGTTGATGGAAGGTGGAGTGGAAGAGATGAAAAACGAGGTTGAGAAAGGGAAGTGAGTGATTTTATCAATGATTGGAGAATGAATGAGAGAGGACGGAGATTGCAGAGAGTGAAGAAGCTTGGTGATGGAGAGTGAATATTGGGAGATGAAGAAGAGGGAATTTTAGAGAGTGATTCTTCTGTGAATTCCAGAATCAATGAGATGAAGGTAAATCTGTTTATATATTCTGTTAAGTGTATGAAAAGTTTGTTACGTGAGATTGAATCTGAACTGTTAATTCTACAAGTTAGCTACAAGAATTGGAGAACTGAAATTTGTTTGAAATTCTGTTATAAGTTGAGTTGGCAATTCAGTTTCAATTTCCCGATTTTCCCATCTTTCCTCTAATTTTCTGATAAGCCGTAAATTCTGAATTTTCCAGTCCTCTGTATTTTCTGTTATGTTAGTAAGAGTTTTTGGAAGTTGAAATTCGCTTAGTCAGTTATTGGGATAAAAAACTGTTAGAAACTAAATTCGTTGAATGAGTTTGGATTGAATGCAGTTTAAATCACCTAAACCAGTTCTTGGGATTACCTTTATTATTTTTCTTTTTGAATTGAATTGGTCTGGATTTAAGGAAAGAATCGGTCTCTTGTATTGGCTATAAATGTTCTTGATTTTTCTCTTATTTTCACAACTAATGCACGACATTGTCTCGGTTTATGTTAGCACTTATGGTATGGTTAACTTGTCTGATTTTCACGGATTGGTTTAATGTGTATCGTGCAGGTTTTGTTGGGTGTTAGTAACTAGTTTTGTTAGGGCAACTTCAGTTTTGAATTTTTATGTTGATGACTAGATATTTGCTTCTGATTTTTGCAGGTTATATTGGATTGTGGTAACAGATCTTGATACTGGTCTGTTATGGTTGGGTATGTAGTAGGTTTAGGTTTATTTTTAGCAGGACAATTGTGATCTTGTTTAGAAGCTTAGAGAAGGACACAAAAGATGGAATGAAATGACAAAGATGAAGAAACTTAGGAATAGGCTTATTGTAACTTATTGACTTGATGTAGGGTTTTTTAGATGATATAATTGTGTTTGAATGCAAGGGGAATGTAACTTGAAATGCAATTGGTATTTTGACCATGTAATGAAATGTGACTCTTGGAAATGTAACGACTTATTTTTTCAAATCGATTTGAATTTCGGGCTTCTTTCTCCATTATGATTCATTTTTCATCTCTAACTCTCTCCTCATTTGTAAACTTGTAAATATTTGAATTCAATGACAAGCTCCCAAATATTCAAAGTACTTTTCTATTTAAACTTGCACTTGAAATTGTAAGTCTTTGATTAATGCCTTGCATAAAATTCTATAGCCACGGTGCGAGTCCATTAAAGCATTTACCAAAAAAATCAAAAGTGATTTTGAAATATTGACCTTTTGCTTTTGAATTAACAATGTCCATATGTCCTTTAATGAATGAATGATGTCGATTTGAACTTTGAGAGGTGAATGCTGTAGAGTTTGAAAATCTTGAATTTGAACAATTGTATCCTTTACAAAATGATGATAAATGATATTTGTCTTGTTTTGAACTTGGACATTCGTCTTGCAATTTTGAATGAAACTTGAGCTTTGCCTTGAAATTTCTTGTAATCATGAACAAATCTTCCATCCTTGAATGTGTAACCATTTACCAAACTTGAATCAAAATAAACACTTGAATGGACCTTGAATGCACACGCCTTGCAAATTTGAATTAGATGACAAGAAATCTCCATGAACAAATTCCTCAATCTTGTATGCTTATAATCTTTGATAACCATATATGTAATGGCTTATATCTCGCAATTCAAACCACACGATATCTTGATCTTAAAACAAAACGGATTCTCTTGAGGAATCCTTGAAGATGAGTATGGAAAGAGGGTATTCAAGATGACTATGAAATAAAACCTTAGCCCACTAAACTTTTGTTAAAGAACTATCCCCAAGGTCTAGTACAACAAATAATGAACCCTAATCCTGTAACCTAAAACATATCTCAACTTGAAGCGATGATGAAACCCTAATTCACACTTCATTACTCAAAAGAAAAATCAGGTGAATCAACTTTATCGGATGAAGTCTCACACCAAAAGAAAACCATAATCTTGTGCAATTACTGATCTTTTGAACCTCAAGTGTTTTATTTGAATGAATACAATGTAATGAAAATGACCTAATGGAAAATATGCATATGAATTCGAAAGCCTAAGCCAGATAAAAAATTAATTAGGAGGGAAAATTTTGGGGTACAACAACTGCCTCTATTTAATCGTCCTAAACCTGCAGGTGAGATTGGCGTCATCCTTTCAAACTTTCAAGGTGGAAGAAGATTAAAGACTAAAAGAATCGGAAAATTTACACTCCGAAGCTAGTCAGGTATTATTATATTTTTCGGCTTTCTGTATTTTTCATTTTTTTTTGCTTTTCTGGGTTAAAGTGGTTATCTGAGTAAATCAATTAGATGTCAGGTCAGGGTTAGACATACAAGACAAAAATCAGATACTCAAGAAAAAGATTCGCTACAGCGGACTCTAATGAAGATATCTAACAAGAAAGAGACCTAACAAAGCGGACTCAATCAAAGATGTCGGAAAAAGATGGGATCTCACAGTGATTTCACCCAAAGATATGGATGAGACCGAACAAAGCGGACTCAAGTGAAACTATCAGAAACGGAAGGGATCTAACAAAGTGATCTCGACCAGATATCGAGGAGGGAGGAAATCTAACACAACAATTTCGACCAAAGATAAGGAGGGAAGAAATCTAACACAACGGTTTCGACCAAAGGTAACAAAGATGGAAGAAATCTAACACAACGATTTCAACCAAAGATATCAAAGAAGAAAAGAGACCTAACACAACGAACTCAACCGAAGATATTAAAGATGGAAAAGATCTAACAAAGTGATCTCGACCAGATATTTCAAGGGAGGAAGAAATCTAACACAACAACTTCAATCAAAGATATCAAAGAAGGAAGAGACCTAACACAACAGACTGAACCGAAGATATCGAAGATGGAATATATCTAACAAAGTGATCTCGACCAGATATTTCAAGGGAGGAAGAAATCTAACACATTGAGTTCAACCAAAGATATCAAAGAAGGAAGAGACCTAACATAACAGACTCAACCAGAGAGCACTGATCAAAGGCGAACTCGAATGTACATGTCCTGAGTTGGTAGCGGACATAAGGAAGATATTGGATACATGCTAGGTAAAATTAGACATATAAAAACAAGGAAGAGACCGGCCGAAGAAGGCTCAAACAAGGAATGCTAACCGCATATAGATTCCTGGAGAAAGAACACCGATTGAAGGTGTAGCGGAAGAAATGTTGAGACTAAGCCATTGGATTGACTTGACTCGCACAAATCAAAATAAAAATCTCCATCGCGCTTTATTATTTCCAAAGGAATGAGAAAAAAGAGAATAACCCAAAAGAGGGGGAGAAAATCTAAGTTCGAGAGTTGGTTATGCAAAGGGAAGGTATTAGCACCCTAAACATCTACGGTACTCCGCAGGATCCTCTTTGAAAATTTGTGTATTTTGACTATAAAAGTTTTATACAAAAATAGATTGTGGGGATGAGAAAAGAAGTATTTTTTTATAATTTTTGCACCCTCCGAGGTTGCAAACATTTAGTGTCTATGGACCACCTTCCTTGCAATAGGGGATAAGGGTACTCATAGTTCACTTATAAAAAAAATTTAAAATACATATGTGTTGGTTAATTTTAAGAGACGAGACACCATTGTCATCTCCGAGTGGAAAACATACTTACTACCCACGATTATGAGAAAGGAGAATTTGCATCATCTCAAAGTGGAGGATATAGCTTGAATTTTAAAATCAACAAAGCCTCGCTCAACACCCAAGTGGAAAATATCTCACTTCACTATATATCGTAGAAGTATAGTAGCTTGCATCACTATAAAGATTGACAACAGTCTAACTTTTTTGAGAAAAGTTTTAAGGAAAAAGCCAAAGTGACAAAATGGTTTGAATGAGATTGGTTGACTTTTAATCTTCTCACAAAAATGTCAAAGTATGATTAATTTGTTTAAAATTTGATTAAGAAAATATTTTGAAAATGCATGGACATAAATCCAAGTTTATTGTGAAAGCGGTTCAAGTTAGAAAACAAGAATAGTTTAAAAAAAAGAGGGAGAAGATTTTTGAAATTAAAGAAGATGGGAGGAGATGAAGGGACTATCCTAAAGCATAAGATAAAAGCTAGGGAAAAGAATCGTCTAACCAACAATAAGTCAACACTTGACGCATTTAGTAAATGTAGAATTCCCATCCTTTGGATTGAAACCAAGCAAGCAAAGATATAAACCTCTTGTGAATACCAAACTTTGAATGCATTAAGTCTTCACAAAAAGTGGACAGAGTAACAGTTGTATACAGATAAATTCCCAATCATAGACAAGGCATATAATCAGAATAACCTGCACACAAAGAAAACAAACAACCCAATATCTCAGGGTAAATCCCAAGAACTCCAGACAAAATAGCAGTAGAAGTCATCAAGGTCTCAAGGTAGGTCAAGGTCTCTAATCCAAAGTCTAAGAAGTCTATAACTCCAAAATGCCAAGGATAGTAACCAAGTAGTCCAAGTAACATTAAAGCCTTTTATTGTTCAAGTTGGTTATTAGGTATATTCAAAAGGAAAATGAAAGCTCAAGTGAGAAAAATAAAAATGACATAAAGATAAATGCTCAAGTGAGCAAAGATGAAAATAGCATGAAATGTAAATGTTAAGATAAATGGTGCTTAAAGTAAAAGCATAAAGTAAAAGTATAGAAATAAAAGTCAATTGTTAATGAGTTAGAAATTAGAGGTTAGTTGAATGACCATCTTGAAACTTGCATTTAAAAAATCATTAGAAGATTGATAAAATCAAGCCTCTCAATAACAAGTTTCATTTGCTTTTTGTCAAGTATATCATTCATTTTAAATTCTCAAGGCAACAACAAATGGTCAACGATATTTAAATGATTCACTTAAACCATATTTTATGAAGTCCATTAGAGGATTGATAAGACCAAAGCCTCATAACAATGAACCTCAAATTTATTGGATCAAAGGGTTCAAATTAAACATACTTGGGCTTGCAAACATGGGTTTGGACCATGAATGATCATTTCTCGAATCGGGACAAAATTTAGTGCTACGTTAAGCAATCGTAAGTGGACTTATATAGAAGTCGCACCTATTATGAGACCGGTCAATAGCAATCTATGTGCCATATGTTTGGAGTGATGATATGTAGATCGTCCTCTAACAACATGTAGCACAAAATGAGAAGAGGATAAGATAAAGAGGGAAGGAGTATATTTGAATCAAAAAGTTTAATCAAACTATCATTAAAATCATCCATCTATTTTAGTGGAGTTAAACTCAACAAGATCCAATGATGAAGTTCATGATCAACAATCACATAGCCAGAATATATTAAAAAATAAATTGCATTTAATAAATAAAATACAAAGGAAAAATGATTTTTAAAATGTTTTTAAAATAAAAATAAAATGCAAAATATTAACGCATATTCAAAATGTCAAAGAAAAATTTAAAGAGACCATAGAAAAATCAGAAATGATCTCAAATATTTTTATAAAATTTTTGGTAATTTTTTAAAACAGAAAAGTATTTTTAAACTAATTAAAATTACTCAAATAAGTGAATAAAGATCAAAACTAGTAGAAGTCAAGATAAAATTCTAGAAAAAATTTCAGAAAGTCTGAAATAAGGAAAATTATTTTTATAAAAATATTTAGAATTTAAAAGTATCAAAAAGTATTTTTAAATAATTAGAAACAAATCAAAATAAGGAAAAAATTATAAAAAATATAAAATCTGAAAGAAAATATTTGAAAATATTTTTGTGAATTTTTCTATAATTTTTGGACCAGAAATAAATTTTTTATGGATTTTTGAAGTTTAAAACAAATAAATATAAAAATAAGAAAATAAAATAAAGCCAAAAAAATGTGGACTACTGGATCATTGTCAAAACGTGTTAGTAAGCAGATCCAAGGGATCTGACACGCTGTGCATGATATGGTCACTATTGGAAATCAC